ATAGAATACAAATTTTTCGTTCGAGGCTTTGTTTTCGAGAAAATCGACTTTGAATTTTTGCTCGGTACGCCTCCACTTTATCGCGTCTCGTTATAACGGATCTCACTGTAGATCGTTGTCTCGATGGAAAAATTAAAAAAAAAAAATTTTTATTCTATATTTTCGACTTCTTTTTTCGCGTAGAATCACCCCCTTTCCGTTTGTACCACCACCCTGTATATATATAAATTTATCGAGTAATTTGCTTTGGTTTCCTTGATATAGCCGTTAGTTCTCTTCCAAATTACCTTGCAGAAGGAGTTTTAATCCGTACAGTTCGTGTCGTTAAGATCAGACGATCCCATCGTTACAGTAACAAGCTGCGTTTTCCGCGTCGCAGTGTAATTTTATTATTACGATAATTATTATAATTGATTTCTTCCTGAATAATTGAAATCGCATGCTACAGAAAAAACATGTCCCTTAATTGGCAAAACATTCATATTATCAATGTAAATACGTAATACATAACATAGTTCTTTAGCACATAATAAGAAACTAATTTACGCGAGTATATTAATCGTATATTGCATTACTCTTATTCGTTATTTATTTACGATTGTTCTAATACATCTACCAAGTAACTTTCAGCGTTCATAAGAAAATTGCCTACGATTACTGTCGACTATAGTCGCAGGCAATTCTCGCGATCCTTTTTTACTTTTTGCGCTTTCCAGAATTCAAGGTTACTTTCGGAATCAATTTTCAGCAGTTAGATTCGATATTTCGACAAAAAGAGAGGATAATGTTCAAGGTGGATTAAAGGGCGCGGAAAGAAACACGACCTTCCGATTGTCCTCGCGTACAGCTTTTCAGATTTCAATGAAATTATCTTTTTACTTGCACGTTACGTCATCGTTGTAATTTTTATCGAGTTGCACGGCCGGCTGGTATCGCTTTTGCGATCGTCGTTTCTTGTTCGTGTCTCGAGCGAGAACATGACCCGTCCGATCGTTAAAAGTCACCGGAACTAAGGATCATCATCGCGACGTTTCTCGAGAGGATTCGTTTGAAAAACGCGAAAGATGTAAATACGATTCGTAATATAAATCAATGCGCGAATACATTTGCCACGGAGCAATTTAAACATTGGAATCGGTAAACCAGATTTTTTAACGACTATCCGAGAGAAAGATATGAATTGAAACGTAGACCGTCGACGGAACGAGGTTGCTTGTATAATTTATACTTAACGAATTTCTTTTTGGTAAATTGTATATTCTACTTTTGAAATATCGCTTTTGTTAATGTTTCGCGGTTAAAAGCGTACGGTTAAAACGTGTTTGCTTTTCTGCGCGATTGCTTTCACCGAATTTCTTTGTCGTGATTGCGTCGATTCCCGTGCATGACCAGCGCAACGTCTTGATACGTGCGTCATATCGAAAAGAAAAAAAAAAAAGAAAAAAGAAAAAAAGCAAAGCAACGAGATATTGCAAAGTATGTTCAAAGTACGATAAAGGCACTGTGTGTTACGCTTCGTTTCGATGATAAGGCGTTGCTTCGCGACGTAATTGTTTTCAGCGGAAATTTTTTATCCCAACGTTTCTCTCTCTCTCTCTCTCTCTCTGTTCTCCACTTTTTTTTTTCTTTTTCATTTTTCTCCATCGAAATTGCTCGATGACAGAGCAACCGCGAGGTTTACTTGCCGATGAGAATAATCGAATTCGCGGGAATTTTTGTCTTCGTTAAAATTGCCGCGTTCCTCCGATTACCTTTTTATCTAATCTCGTCTTTTTATCGCAACGATTTTCCTCGCTCTCGAGTGGACACGTAAGGATTCGATTCGAACAAATAAGAGGAAGAAGACAAAGTACTTTACAGACAGCGATACGATAATTTCGCGTGGAACGCCAATTTGCGAGTGCCATCGTTAAAGCGTTAATTCAAGCAGAATCAACGACCAAATGACGATTTCCTTCGCTTCGTCGAGGAAAAGATCGTTTATTTACGTTTCAGTCGGAACGTGTTATTCGACGCGATCGAAAGTGGCGGTCGTATTCGCGATAAAACGAGAGGGAACGGCTGTCCACAGCGGTGCCAGGCTTTACGTAACACGGCTAGACCAGGGTCGTCGTCGTTGTTAGTCGCGGTGCTGAAGCTCGGTGCACGCCGTGAGGAAAACACGTGGAGTGTGACTGACTCGTTCAAGTTTCCTTCCTTTTCTATCGCGATCGCTATTTATATTTCCGCAAGGCTGCGAGCACGCGTTCAGGTGCGCGTTCGTCGATCGCGTGAATTGCAAAAAGATTCGTCGCTTTGATTTAGACTCGGGTTAACGGTGTATATACGTTTTACAGCGAATACGTCAGGAGAATGAAACGTATATACGGTATGATCAGCTGCTATCCAACAGACACCGGGTCATACGATACTAAAAATTAAAACAAAATATTTCCTTCTTTCAACGAAATACGATACAACTATTCGAACTTTTCCGAGGATCAACAGTTCGCGTCATTGGGTCGCTCGGAAAGTTCGTCCCGATTTATTTACATTTCGACTCCATGTATTAGGTGGTCCGAAAAGTTTCTTTCGTTCCATAAGGAAATGATGGATGCACAATATTTTTCGTTTTATATTATTTTATCGAATTACGTACGATGCATTTTGTTCTATCAAAATAAAGATCGCAACGTTCGATGGATTAGTTTGTATAAAGGAAGCGTCCTGTTTTGCGACCAAGTTTTCAGGAGAGAAAAAAAAAGCTCCGCTTCTCAGCGGCTTAAACCCAAAAACTGCATCATACAACGAAAAATGTAACAATGTAAAAAAATGTAAACATAATACAGCATGGCTACGTCGTACCGCCGCGTATCGGTACCTTTGGCTAACATACCATTACAAAAATTCATGTTTATTGTAAATGATGTACCTAAAACTGTATTCTTGGACTCAATAAACCTTAAATCTCCATTAGTTTGTATAAAGATGCATCGTTGCAAAAGACGGGTGTGTAAAAGAAAGACACTTTTCCGACAACCTAATACATTTATCGAATTATATAGGTGTCATATTTTATTCCAGTTTCTGTATCCTTCACGCAACTCGAATATCCCATCCTTCCAGTACCTTTCAGCAGTACCTTTCGGCGAGAAACTTTTCAACTTTTGATTTTTTATGTCGACCAAATTCCTTCAAAATTGGAACGAACTTTCCCACCGATCCCGTACAGTGTGAATCTCAATGCGAAACTCCAACCTTCCTTTTCCCCTATCGTATTGTCCTGCATTCTTCGACCACGAGGATCAAGAATCGTTGTAAAGGGATTTACCGGAGGACAGATAAGCGGGGAATCGCGAATTGTTGGCGGTGGTCGGTCGCGTCAGGCCATCGATCGCGTCTGCTCCAGGGTGGCGGGACGGTCCGGCGCCGGGGTTGGCGTCGCTATGGTGGGGAAAGTGCACTCGGTGTGCACGAGCAGACCCTATATGCAATTGGCTGGAAAGCGCATCGCTGGAGGGGATGCTGTCGTGTAAAAGAGAGACCGGGCGAAAGGGAGAACGAGAGGTGTGCGAGAAAAGAGAGGGGTCACGGAAGGGGAAGGCAAGTGCACACACAAAGTAGACATATAGGTCAATGTCGGGACACTCCCGTGCACTGTTTAGCACGACTCACCTACTGACCTACTTGCCTCCTCCTTTTGCGTACTCTGACCAGCTCCTCTCCTAGGTTCCCGGTCTCTCGCGGTTCCAGACGTCGAGACACAGGTGTTATACAGGGTGTGGTCGACATTTTTCTACAAACTTATAGACGAACGATCGATTACGCGTACGTACGTCGAGTTAGCATTGGAATTTTAAACAAGAAAAAATAAGAATACGGAAAACAATCGGGAAATAATACTCTTACGCTATTGAGATTATTAATACGATCGGAAAGCTAGTAACGAGACGTTTCACACGATCGCGTGTAAAAAGATTTTTTCAAAGAATAGCGTGACGATCGGATCGAGATCGAAGGATCGTTGGCAGAAAAACTGACGCGATTACCTGGAACTCGTTAGTCGAAGAAATCGACGAAGGTAAACGCGGTTACTCTCGCCAACACGACATCGTCGGCTTTCCGACACACTTCGTAACGAGCTGTATAACGACCAATTAAAAATCATGAATGTTTACGAAGCGACGTGATTAAAGCATCTGATTCACCTGCGACGAATAGCCAGGAGAATTATCTTGCTTACGAATTTTAATTTCTTTTTTTTTCTTTTAATTTCTCTTTTCGTATTTAGAAAGTCGAGCAGTTCCTTACCCGCGATTTGTCAAAAATTAACATTGCTCGTTTCCCTGCAACCGTTACAAATAGTTTTGACAAAACTAACGTTCGCTGTGTATTTTACGTCGTAATATTACACGAATACAAAATTCTATCCGATTAATCGTTTATCTGATAATCTGGGTCAATTATCACGAGGCCAGCGGTATTACAGGATAACGAATTTCATTCTAATTACTACAGGTTGTCGTGGTATGTTTAATCCACGCGTGTTCGCTGTACATAATTTATTTTTTAAAAGAGATGGCCGTTGAAAAAATACGCGCTGAAGAAGAGGTAGCGGGGAATATCTCCATTACACGTGTCGGGTACGCGCATCCTTCATAATCCTGACTCATTTGGTTGACCTATATCCGCGTTCAACGGCGAGCGCCGCTTTTATTGTCCTCGTCTTTCCAGACTCACGTATCGTTCTTCTATTTATGCGTTTTCCTCGACAGCCCGCGAAACGATAACGCGTTCTATCGGTCTGTTCTTTTCTTTTCGAAATATCAGCTGCAAGACGAGTAATCGGAAGATGTTCAATTGTAACGCGTAATCTAAATCGAAATGAGACTACGCTCCAGTAGGAAACCTCTGCCAGCCAACCTTGCCGTGTATGTATCTCGTAATACGTTATAGACAGATAGTTTTACTATTAAGTTTAGTTTCCATTTCGATGAAAGGATTCCAACCGTCATTTCCCATCGTTCTATTCTCTTTTCGCGAACACGTTGCACGTGTTTCCACGGGAAATCCGCACTTGACCTAATTTCAGCTCGTTCGATAGCCGATGGTCCCGCGAAGTTTCCACGGCAGGCGCTCGGGGGAGAAAAGGTTGGACGCACGAATCGTGTTTCAGCGTGAAATTGCAACGGGAACCTTGACATTCCCGTGAGATCGGCAAATGGAAACTCGTCACGTAAAGCGCGCTTCCACGGGGACTGTGTATCGGGAAACCACCGACGAAGCTCTCTCCAGGAGCATCCGTAAAGTTTCTCGTTGCTGAACGGACGCGGTTTCGGTTGGTTGCCACGAGTTGCTCCGGATGTAACAAGTTGGAGGAACCGTTACGAAGATTTCGTTGTTCGTCGGGAACGATTACCGGCCATTGTTCGAGAGAATAATTTCTTTGATCGATCGAGTCTTTCGTCGTTTATATACTTAAAAAAAAAAATAAAAAAATAAAAAAACGCGCTGATGTCTTCCAAAACGGACGACTAATGAATCGATAAAAATTATTAGCACATTGTCCTTCGGTAGCGAAGTAGTAGAGAATGGTCTCATCAGTCGTTAATTTATATTCGTATAATTTTGTAATCGATAATATACGACGAGACTGTGCTGGAATGGATAATATATTTATGTAAAAGAATATTTATGTATTTTATATTAAGTCGCCACTAACAAATTATCTCATTTTTTGTTGCAGGTGAGTTACGACGTTCTTGTTCGAATAGAATAGCGATGCTTCGTTACGTAAGTAAGTTATTAACGAAATATGAACGAAATATGCGAATTTAGGTCAAACGAAACAGGACGATAACGTGCATTAATCGGTAATTTAATAATACCTGTTCATTTCCTGCGTCCACTGTCTTATGTTTCTTGTATGATATGTCATAGAATTTGTCTAAGAAACCACAGCCTTACAATTAATAATCCACAAGTTTTTACATATTAAACTCGTCGTTTTTTTTTTAAACTTTCTTAACTGTCTACGCCATACAAGAGTACGTCATCACGCACTCGATAAAGAACGACGAAACAAAGGTATTCTAACGCGAATAGATCAACACTGTCCGGTGAATGGGCTCGAAAGGCGTCGTTCTATTTTTTTATACTCTCTCGTCACACTTGCTCCACGTAAGAACAAACAATAATTCACTTTCCGTTAAGCACTTTCCTCGGTTGATTGGCTTACGAGAGAGTGCTACCTTAATGCGGTTATCCTTAACTTGGTCAAGGTTTATCTCACGGTCCGAAGGGAGTGTACAAGCTGATATAAAATACAAAAATAAAAGAAGAAACGGAAGACGAAGGAGAAACGATCAAGCTCCTTTAACTGTTTCTTGCAACGAGCACCGTTAATGCCGTGTCGTTCTTTCACGATACGATCCAAGTATCGATCCAACGAGTGCATCGTTAAAGAAGATTAATTCGTAAAATTTACGACATCGTATACGTATAAACGATACTTGTCACGAACAACAATAAACTGGCTATTTCTAACTATAGTTTACTATTAACGTACTATTCTCTTTTCCCCACGCAACCACTTTTTCCGATTCCGATTCAGATTCTGTCATATAGCTCGGAATCTTTAACGAACCGAATCGTATTTCTTAAACGTTTCTTGGATGTTGACGCTGTGTTAGATTCGATGCCGTCTTTTCGTCTCTGTTGTTCAAATTTTGTGCATTCGTATCGTTCGCGGTGACTTGTTAGCGGCTGATTTTCGCAGATGATGGCGGTATGATAAGTCTGTTTTGCCGATGATGCAGTCCTGGATGATTTCAGCGTGGCCGATTTGTAATCGGGACAATAAGGGGATTTATCTTTCTTGTCCATGGATTTTCCATGTATTGGCACGTAGAAGATTCGAGTTATGTTATGGATGTAGGTTCTTTTATCGTCTGCTTTCCTTTTTCTTCTTCTTGCGTGATCGATGAGATCCTAGCGAAGAATTTGAATAGGAGATTCGGTAGACGATGATGCAGTTTCGGCGACTTCGTTTTCCTTGTATCTTTTGATAATCGCGCGTTTTTGAGTTGATTTTGATGGGGCTTTAATCGCGCTTATGAAGCTCGAGTATACGACTAGATTATAGGTGTCGTCTGTATAGCGTAGTTCAGTACGCAGGTTTCACGGTGTCCAAGAGTGCGTTTTCTCAGCTGAGATAATTGACATGGATGTGTCTTGATCGTCTGATCCTCGGGCGTGATAGCGATTTCTGAGTTTCTTTTCGACGCATCTGTGTGGATCTTTTTGTACCTTGGGTATTTCTTGTCCAGTTGCAAGAACTTTGTTCCATGTTGCTGCTTGCTCGTTCATTTTTTGCCTCGGTTGTCCAAGTCCGCGTTTAATCGAAGAATCTTCATCGTCCACTTTCCGCGCCTGCTTAGAGCGAGGTGTTATTATTTTATTCGATCTTTACGAAGATGTCCATTGCTTAAGAATATCACGTTTAAATAAAATTATTACCGATATCCTCGCACCAGGATACCACGTTATCCGACAATCTTCGCATAGATATTTAATCGTTGTAAAATATGCGGCGCCAAAGGTAGTCGACTCGCAAGATTTATAACGCAACGTCTATCCCACGTCTGTCTCAAAACAGGTGTAGATCTGTCTACTTCAAACGGAATACAAACATGACAGCGAAAAGCAACAGCGATGCAAGAAGAAGCGCAGAGAGCATCCGTCACACAGGCAACACGCTAAATCGGCCATAACTCGACAGGAATTGACTCGAGAACGCTTTTATTGACGTTTCCTCGTTCGCTTTGATAAGCGTCCTGACATACCAAACGCTCTTTTCTATTTCACACGTCGTGTCCCGTAGCTTCTCTTCCGGTGTCTCGAGAATCGGCCGGCGTGTTGTTCTTCTTCTTCCGCGAATTTACAAGCTTTGGATCGCTCTCAAACGTATTGGGTGAACGAACTATTTATACTATCGTCTATGAACGGACAGTTCGTCTCTGACGGCAGAGAAAATAGGAGAATTTTAGGATCGTTGTTGATTCGTCCGTCGCAATGCGGTGGTCACGTAAGTTGTCCTTGACTGTTCTCTCTCCGTCTTTCTGGCAACTTGCTTCGGTGAATCCCTTCCACCCATACCTGATTGGTCATCCTTCCTCTCGTTCCCCGTCAACGAGCATTATTTATAGCGGGATGTAAGTGCATATGCAATCGCCACGGTGTGACCGATTCAGTGCACCCAAGACCAAACGTGTCGACCGATTTGATGGATCGCTTTGGATGCATCACGCTTTTGGACCGGCTGCTGAAGTTCATAGGCGTCCAAGCGACTGGCTGAGTTCCGAGAATTCTTCGTATAGAACGAAGAAAGTGGTAACGTGGATCATTATCGGAAATTTGTTGAGAATGGTTTAAGACGTGGAATTTTAAACGTGGACGGTTACTTACGAGAATCTTTTTATTTCAAGAAACGTAATACACGATACGAATTTACGACGTAGTTTCTTACATTTGAATATTCTATGAAATTAGGAACGTATATGTGAATCGTAATTCCAAAGAAACAATTTATCTCTGCAGTTTATGTAGTATAATTGGAGGTTCATCGTGACGTAAGATATATCGACTACATAAATATCACTTGTAACGAATCTAATTTACTTTCAAAAATTGCCAGTATAAAATATGCAAAATAATTTTTTAAGACTCGTGACGCTCACCTAGTTAATTATTCGAATCTTATTGATTTTCGATAGGAGTTTTAATTTCGCTATTCCAATTGTTAATTTCAGAATAGGAGAAATCACGCGAAGCTTCCAAAGCGAAATTCTAACTCCATTACTCTTTTGTCTTGGTATCTTAACTGCGGTATCCTATCTTCAAACGGTTCGATCGTATAACGCGTAACATGGTTTATACTTTTCTGTACTTTAGATTCTCTATTGGTATTCGCGTTACAAACTTTCTTGAACATCGAACGAGGAATCACAAGGCGATTTCTATCGATTACCTATCCTATTTACATTGACGCACTTTCTTAATTGATTTTCTTCCACATTTCTTATTAGCTATCCATTGAAAGTCAGATTACTCGAACGAGTTAAAATATCTATATTGCTGCACTTGCACGGTACTCTTTGGCGACACACAGCGAATTTACAATGGCCAATTACCTCGACTGTTAACCGGTCCCGATCGTGACGTATTCGAGGCGTGTTCGAGCGTCAAACTTTTCGAACGTTCTCTCGGCATCCCCTCGGTGATTTTTTCGGGGGACGTGTGTCCACTCCTGAACGGGCATGTGTTTTTTTTTCTCCTAAGAAAACGACATCCAACGGCGTTAGCTCGTCGCTTATTAGGTTTCAAGGAACGATTAACCCTGAAAAATTGCGAGCTTTCATGGGTGAACAATGCCCGGGCTGATTGGTACTCGCTTTAGAATTAGAACCCGAATTTTGCATTGTGCAACCGGACCAACAGCGAAACAGCTGCACCGCCGTTGCTTTCTTCTGGCTTGCATCGAACCGACACTCCTTTTTTTACTTCTTTCTTTCTTTCTTTCTTTTTTTCCATTCTTTTTTCTCTTTCTCCTTCCTTGCCTCGCTTCAACTTCCTCCGCGTTCGAGTTACGCTTCCGTCGTATCTTAATCGAATGGACGTTAGTACTGTGTCTTTTTTACCACGTCCGTTTGCGACGTTTGATGGAGATGAGATTGCTCAGGTGCAACTCATCGATGATATTGCGCTTTTGCCTTTTTACATTCGTACTGTTCGCGTATCACATCGCAGAGGAGGAAAATCTTGGTTTCTTTATATTTTGTTCGAATGCAAATTTAATAAAGCGCGATTCGTCATTGGCACGCAGTTTTTTTACGTTATGTCGCTGTACGGTTAATATGTTGCATTTTAAAACAGGAAAGTTCATGGTTTTTATATCTTAATAGGATGTAAGTTGAGTTAGTGATATCAATGACACCGATTAAATTCATAAGAACTATAGTTCTTGAATATTTAATAATACAATTGCTTACGAATATTATTGTAAAATGAAATCTAGATTATAATTATCTAGAATTGCCTTTTTTCATTAAAATTCCTTCGGATAAAAGAATTTGATTTCAAACCAAAGGAATTAATTTCGTCGATTTTTCTCGCGCGTTTTGCAACCTTTCTAAGGTCCAAAAGACCATACAACATCCCTGACGATCGAACGAGGGAGAAACCAGTTTCGACGAAGAATGTAAACGGAATATCCTCGAGTCCTGTTAACCTTTCCTCGTCCTACTCACCTGTTCGTAAAAACAAGCAAGGATACTTTTGCTCCGTTCTATACCGGTGTCAAAGTACTTCGTTCTATCGGTGTTATTTACAAAAACATGATCTCTTCACTAGGAATTGAGACAACAAATTTTGAAACTTAACTCCTTTACGATATCATAAATCAATTACATATTTTTTTAATTAGCCAAATAATTTCCCATTGCACTTTCGAATTCCAGTATATTAATCTTGTTAATTCTGCTTCTACGTGTAGTACACCAACGACTAAGAAGATTTCGCGCGAATCGTTAAGACGTGCCATAAAGAAGGCTGTCGTGTTATTAAAGTTAACGACCTCCGTTTTATTAAAAGAACCGTTCTTTGAAACAGTATCTCATCGATTCCAGCCGGAGCAATCGTAAACAACTTTTAAAGTGCAAAAAGTCGAAGAAACCGCCCGCGAAGCTAGCGTACGCTGCGAGCGGGTGTTGCACAACAGCGATGGACGCACGAAACGCGCCATAAAACTGCGAAGTCGCAGAACGCAACGGGACAAGGCTGAGGCAGCGCGCGCGCTGAGATTCGTTTCCTCGATGCTCCGTGGCGAGCACGTAATAAACTTTAAAGCTGGCAAGACGACTCAAATGCATCCGCGGAGAGTGTGCACGAATCCCGCGATAGCGAGTAGGTGGCTAACCTTGACGACTACTTATGCGATCGACGCTCGCGTTTGCGCGTGCACGCACGCACACACACCGTCACATAGTCGAGCACGCACGAGTTGCAGCAGCGGACGCAGACACGCGACGCTACTACTATGAACGCGATAGTCAGCCGTGTACACACACACACACTCACACACACACACACGGCTGATTATCGTGCGTCTACACAGAGTGTCGGTTAGCTGGCATATGGGCCAAACGGCTTCGAAAAGAGTGAAAAGGAAAAAAGATAGAAGGAAAAAGAAAAGGGGAAGCATCGAAGAACTTCCTCAAAGAGCGAGTTTGATTGCTGCGAGGACAACGAAACGGGTGTGTCTAGTATGTTGCGGTGAATCAAGGAGGTATCGAAGCAGGTGCGGCAGATCGTTCGTGGACACGTTCCGTTCCACGAAAGGCCGCTGCAAGGATAGTTCTTTCCGTGCATTACGCTGTTAACAAAGAAAGCGGAGGCTGCCAGGATGCACAAGTTCAGAGTTAAAAGCGAGACGATTAACCTCTCGTCGTGTAACATCGCGCTATGCCGATGACGTGATTTTCGTTCCAAACGCAAATTCCGTATCCCGAAGAAAATTTATCCGCGATTCTTTAACTAGGATCATCGATACGGATTGCGCATGAAAAATATGTTACAGCAGCGAATAAGTAAAAATAATCGGAACGATGTTCATCGATAGACGAACGTCGATGTTTAGCGTGAAACTGGTACTGCATCGTTTGTATCGTTGGTCACGTATCTGCACGAGTGGTCTGCGCGTCGCTATTGGTATGTCGCGAACGAGCTTTATCGACTCGCGATACAGAAAAGGGAAACGATCGTTCGCGACACTCGGCTTTATCTTCGTCAGCGATCTGGCCGCATTGTTGATTTATACCTGGTATCGAGCGTGTCTGCGTCGCTGGAGAACCGGCTGATCGTTAATTATAATCGTTTCGGCGCGATTCTTCGGTATTTCGTACGTTCCGATTCGCGCTCGTTCCGCCGTCGCGCGGCTAAGAATAGCTTCTCGCGGCTCGGCAACTCCTTTCGTCGCGGCGCGTTTTAAACACGCCTTTACGAAAACGCGCGTATCTGATGCAGCATCTCGGTCGGGCATTCGTTACGAGCGTAACGTAAATCTTCGTTAAAGGTACCTAGCTGCGGCTTATTTCCCTTATCAGATTCGTTGTTACATGTTCGGTGCCAGAGGTGTATATTTCGGTCACCTGGTAGAAATCCCCATGCAAGGCTCGCCGTCGCGCACGCTCGACATTGCGAACCGCTCCCTTCCCCTTCGCTTTCGACGATTTCCCTCACTACCGTGCCATTGGACGAGCCAGCTCGCGACGGTAGAGGGGGACGAAGAGGGGAGGTCGATTCTCCCGTTTCGGCCGTGCACTAGAACTTGACTCCTAAGCTCGACAGTGACGGCGCAAGCTCTATCTGCTTTTCTCTGTCCCTCTTCATTTCCTTTCTGCTCTTATTCGCATACGTCGTTTCTTCCTATCTCCCTTGTTCTAATATCTCCTCCTCCTTTCCCCTACCACGCTCGCATCGCACCAAACTCGCTCGAAGACCTCGAGCGGTAAGGTTACATTTCTATCGTCGAGTATTACACGTTTTTATCGATTATGGATAGCCGTATATCGTCGCACTGGCTATGTTTTCCTCGCATTCGCGTTACGTAGATCGAACCGATAGAATGGAAAGTTCGGATTTCGCTTTCGCACGTGGTTTTTATTTTACGAGCCGACGAATCGGGCTGTGACCTACTTCGCGCGATCGTCGATAGGCTAATCGAGAATGTTCCACGAAGAAAAAATGTCAACGGTACAATTACGATTACTCGTTGAGATATATGGAAAGCGTAGGTGTTCGATCGATGATCGAAAATCGCTTGTCGTCCCGTGCTCGACATTTTCCTACGAAGAAAAGTGCAAGTAGAGACGGAACGTCGCTTGTCAGACGGGGCTTCGCTTGCACTCCTTCCTTCTTCAGCGTTCTCCCCTTCCCGTCCCCTCTACGCTGTCCGCTGCCACCTTTTCGTCCTCCATCGCCTTCTCCTCGTCCTTCACCTCCTCTCGATCCTCTATTGTCCCTCTCTTGCTTCTCCCGTGGCTCCCCCTCCTCCTGCACCCTTCCTCCGTCCTCCCTGTCCCCACCCCGCCGCCCTACCGGCTGCACGCTCACATGCAACGAGCGAGACCGGCCGGCTGGCACTCAGTTGCCTTTAGCGCCGTGCATCTCCGAGTCAGTTAGTCAGTCAGTCAGTCAGTCATTGAGTCAGTTAGTCGGTGAGTCGGGTCGACGATACACGCGCGACGGAGGTATCGTCTCTGCTCTGAACTACTTACACTCTCTTTTCGCCCGTAACGTTCTTCCCCTCCCCTTCTCCCTTTCTCCCTTTCTCGTTGTGTTCTTTGTCCTTCTATCTTGCGAAATTTATTCGCGTCGCGGGTCATTCGGTCGTGTCGCGTGTTGCTGGCCGCGTGCTTCTCTATTCGCGGCACGTGTGTAACGCTCTGGACGCGGTGGAATATGTGCGCCCGTAGCCCTCGTCGCGTGCGCTGCCTACGTCTCGTCAAACCGAGCCAACTTGCTCGTTTCTAGGAAGTTGGAAACGTGTATCGCGACACGTGCGTAAGTACCATATCGAACGAACAAACAAATCGAACTGCAGTGCGTTAGGAAATTTCCACGTCAACTGTACGAGGTGCAATAACTGTGCTCGTATGTCCCGTCGAGGATCGGTCATAGGGAATGCGTAGTACGTAGTCGCGTTTGTGATGCGCGCTCGTATTTTCGTCGTTGTTTCTCCGACAGAGCGGTGCAACAGTGATCTGTGAACGGTATTCCGTTCACGCGCGCTACAGCGAAAGGATTGCTTTTGGAATCCCGAATGTTGGAAGGATCATCGTCGTGTCCTCCTTTGCCCAGTGGGAAAGATTCGACTGTGCGTCTTATATGCAAACGAGTGCAACAGTGAAGTTCAATGTCAGAAATTCGCATGCTTGTTTTCTCCTTTTTTCCTCTCGGTACGCGTTGAATATTAACACCGCTATACCACGCTCCTATATCTCGCTACATTTTCCTAAAGTTCATACAGGTCAATTATCAAACGACTCTTAGTAAGAAGAGAATTTCTTTCGCGTATGACGATAATAAGAAGAATAACGACATAACGCGCGATATTTAAAACCAGACGTTCCAAACTTTTTACCTTTGGGATAGGTGCAAAATCTTTGTCCGTGGTTTCGTATTCGAAGATTTTTCTCAAAGTACCAGTGTTGTTCGAGAAGCGATCGAACGCGAAGTGTTTATCGGTGTTTCGTCGTAGCACGAGCATGTTTGTCGACATACGTAGATAAGCGTCTCCGATCCTTCGTTGCGTTTATGGTGCATAAAAAGTGCACGGTGCTTCTAACGCGCAATTGCGACCCGTTGTGTTCTGCCTCTCGCGGTAACAATGCAACTCGACCTTCGTGGATTAGTAAAAAGGGAATGTCGTACCTGTTGTGCTTCTTCTTCGCGTACAGTTGCAGCTTTAAAACGTCGCGTCGATGAAACATCTTGGAAGCGAGACTTCGAACGTGTACAGTTCCAGTTAATGCCCGATGAAATAAACTTCCGCTTGAATCCATTTATCCGAACTCGTATTATACGAAGGAAAAGTTATACAAAATTAGATAAACGATGTTTTGTTTTATAATATTGTTCGTCTGCCTTTCCCTAGGATCGTACAGAGGTGTGCAAAGTTTCTGGTCGGACAGATCTTCCGCTTTGTATTGCAAAATATTTAAAAGAATGTTAACTGATACACCGTGTCCCGTAACCGTGAAACCTTTTTAAAATGTTCAACTCGTATACAGGTACGAGATCGAAGACGATAAAATCGGACGAGAATAATATAATAATAAACTAATCTTTGGTTTTCTAACGACGAAGTTTAGGTTTAAGATGATACGACTTTGCGATAGAATAACGAGATAATTAGAATGGGAGAATGATTCGAATATGGAAAACGAAGCGCGGGCCGTGTTCCGAGCAACGTGACGAATGTTTTGCATTTTCTTTTCGATGCCAAAGACCGAGAACGCGCGACGCTAAAACTGTCGCTGGATGCCACAAACGTTATCGATCGTGCAAAGCATATTGTCACAGTGTGTCGTAATCAAACGTGACTTTTGCTGCAACGACTTTTGCGGCAGCGTGGGTACGATCATTATGCTCGTCGAAGCGCACGTGCCAAGCGAGCAATCTTTGGCCTCGATCGCTCGAAATTCGACCAGTTTCACGAGCGTTTTAAACGCATTGTAATAAGTTCACGGTACGACATACGAGCCGCTTCGAAGGCACTCTGACATTGTCTTTTCTAAACATTACCTTTGAAAATTTGCTTTGTAATTTATAACTATTTATATCATTTTCTTGCGCCGAGTAAACTTACGACCATGAGTCGTATTTTTCGAAAAGTTAAATGATAATAATCAATAGTAGTTGTAGGAGATTTAAATACCTAGAAATATCTAATTTAAAATACTCGTAATATGTAAAGGCTGACACAAATATCCGTTTGAATTCTATTTCGTTCGTCGTGTTTAGAAATTCATATCGAACCGATTATCAATAGTTGCTTTTAGAGTGTGAAAATGTACGAAGACACGAGACATCCGAGCAGATTGCTATTTGGATTTCAGTTATATTAATAAAAATATGAAATTGTACGAACATTCGCATTTTGTTAATAACGAATAATTACCTTAGATTTAAAAATGGAGTTGGATCAGTTTGACTTCCGAGAGACTCGTGTTATTCCGTTTGTTTCTCCTACGATATACACACGCATACTACTGTAGTTGTTGGTCGAACTAGTTGTCTCATACTTTCAGCTACTTTCTTCTTCCGTGAAAAATACCGCCGTGTGTATTCGACGACGCGGATGGATTTGCGCAAGGCATAATGAATTCTTCTCGCTTGAAACGTTCTACCGTGGACAAAACAATGTTACAAACATATTTTTCAAGAAAGCGTACATCATGCAAATTTGAGAATTAATATCTTCGTGTAATTTAACAATTATTTTCCATAAATCTTTAAATTATTTTTTAACATCCGCGTCTTTAATTGCAAAAGTTATAGCCATAGAAGATTATTTCAACGTCATTCGTCTATTCAATTTATTTCTAATATTTGTCATTTTAATCGCCACGCTACAATATAATGTTTCGCGATAGAAAATAATTTTATCGTCGTTCATCCGTTTTATTTATTCCAACGATTTTTAAACTGTTGCTTCTTCAGTTGCAAACATTGTGACAATTCGCGATACAAGATTATTTTGGATAAAATTACGAAATCCATGTCTTATCAACGAATTATTTTCATATACGTGCGTATCGGCGCAGATAGGAGGCTGATTATGAAACGAAGCTTCGACCAATTTATTATGTTTGCGTATTTTTCCACGGGTGCATTGGCTGGTGTATTCGTGAATCATCGTACCCTAACTACGAAAGTACGCAGTTTCAGCGTACTCTTCTCCCTCTCTCGAATCTTCTACGCAGTATTAAGGTGCCGACTGATCTTTGCTGCGACTGCAACATCGCAGCGGTCAACTTTTTGTTGTCGTTCAAATACGTTGCACACACCAAGTTCCTGTTTCGTCGTTTCTTCGGTTTGTAAACAAGTTTGCGTGCACCCTTCTGTTTGCTTCTCTGCATAGTTACTCGAGGTTGCTCGATGACACACGTATCGATCTTTCTATCTTCTACTTTGTTACCCTGACAAAGTCGAACATTTTATATATTTTTTTTTTCTTCGTTCGAGTTTCTTTATACTTGGAACTTTCCACATTGTTAATTTTAATAGCTTTTTACATGGATTTATTTTCTTTTAATCCTTTCGTAAAAATTAATCGATCGGACGATTGAAATCGTCGATAAAATGAATTCAAAGATAATTTTATTCAACGTCTAGAGATACTTAGAGCGTGGCAAACGGCGAGAGAAACGTTTGATAAGTATGTAGGTGACGCTATTTCACAGGTCGCTAAATGATTCGCCAAATTCAGTCTACGTCGTGTCTAGTGGCTCGAGGCCATCCGAAGAATAGCTTACGCGTCCAACATGTGAGAAATGGATAACGGGTGAAGCGTGTGTTATCGATTAACTTTCACGCTGCAAATGACAATAACATATCGAGTTCGGTCGTTCTGGAATAAATAAATCATGTATGTTCGGGTCTCCTTTGTTTCTGTGCTACTCGTCTTTATTTTAGAAGACAGATCGATGGCATTGTACTCGAGCTGCCAATACCGCTTCAAAAATCCGTGAAAGCTAGTTCGAAACGTCGAAAACACGTTCTGCATCGTTGTTTCCCATCCCCTTTTCCAATTTTTTTTTTTTTACCATTTTATCAGTTTTTATCGAGAATCGTTACAGAGAATCAATCGATGAAAGATCGATCGCTAATAAAAGTACATCGCAAAAGGTTGAATCTCGCGTCGAAATCTTCGTCGTAAAAACTCAAGTAGTTTCAACCACCTGCATTCGCGTCAGCCTCTGCCGTCTGATTCTACTTGCGGAGCACCGGGTACATATCGATTCGTCTTTCTTAGTAGACAGGGTTTGACGTAGCCTCTTCGTCTGTAACCTTGAACTTCAACCTCGACTCCGGGAGCCGCCATTAGAAATACGTCCTCCCTTTCATTCATCGTCGAGATTGATCGTCGCGAAAAAAAATTGATCGATCGAAAAAGAAAAATTAGAAAACCGAAGAACCAGCAAACGATATTCGTTTTTACCTTAGTTAACGAAGGCAATTCCGTTTCCCTGTTGGGCAGGTTTTACATAACAGTGATCGTAGTCTCGCGGCATGTTTTGACGAGCATTATCGTTCAGCGACGTTAGGAAGCGGAGTCGTCAGGCGGATACACGCGACGCTAAGAGAATAGAAGATGCACCGCTGCGATGCACGTGGACATACGTTGCATTTTGCATAATTGGCTGCGTTACGTAAGCATTGTTTCTCCACCGGCGGCGATTGTCGCCGTTGCACAGCCAAGGCAATCGCATTTTACTGCCTACATGCTGTGGTCAAGGTCATCGTTTGTAACACCGACTGCAGGAATTTCATTTACACCGGCACTCTATTCATCCGAACGAGATTTTACTCGGTTCCGGATCGAACGAATTTTTCCCGATTCCAATTATTTCTATCGACGTGAATTTCTCTGATTCGATTGAGAAAATCGAAGGGTCTACAACGACGAACGTTTGAGATACTCTGCGAATAAATTCGGTACGATTTATCGCAAAAATACGTACGTTGGAACTCATAAATATTGACCGAACGCGAGAATTCAATTGTTTTTCTAATTACAATTGTAGTTAGCGTTAAATGATAAACAGTTGGTCTGAGAAATGGTGCAGATATCTTGTGCGAATTTTTGTCGAGGCCGACCAGGGACTCTCGCTTTTCTTCGTCGGTTCTCGAACGCGTAAAAAGCGTGAAATATCGCCGTCCGTGACAGTCGGTCGCGGGATTCGTTTGATCTCGCCGATGACGCATTCCAACTTTTCATTTTCGTTCGCTTTCGCTCTCTCGTCCTCCCCGAATCTCGCTGGTTTATTCTCGGTTTACGTACGTATTTTAATCCTCTACGACTTTGGACGTGTTTCCGAAGAATCGATGATCTTCGAGTTTCTTCGGCTTTCAATTTCTATTCGCTGTACTCTGAATCGAATTATCTTAGCAAGTTCGATTATTCCGAGTCAACTATGACGATTAATATCGGATTATTCTAATAACCTTTGCATATCGTTAACGATATACGCTACAACTCACTTTATGAAACAATACTTTTTAACATTAAAAAAAAAAAAAAAATTATCTATGCGACGACGTAACGGAACGTATTTCTTCGAAACTGCCCGTATCTCGCACGTAATATAGCAATATCTAATTGAACGTATGATTCATAACCGGAAGTTATCAGTGCGTTCGAAGTTCCTTTACTCTCAAGTTCATGGCTTTGAGAAATATTTTCTATGCATACTATAATCGTAATGTTTTTATTCTTCAGCGAGCGTTCTTCTTTTATTACGTACTAAAGGCTGTTTCTCAAGGGGATGGTTGTCATTTTTGCCAAGTCGAACTTCCGCTCACGTTACGCCAGCGAAACTCGTATCGTGGAGCTCGGTTCCAGCAGAAACTCTATCTAGCTTGGATTAACGTCCCGCTCTATTTACCGCACCGCGATACGTTTATCTTAGGTTTCTTTTTTTTCTACATTTTTGAATAATAAGCTCGATCAGAAAGAAAAGAACACAACGAGAGAATCGGAAAGGATCGTTTCGCAATTTGATATCACGATAAAAATTGTCGTGACTAATTATTAATTATATATAAAACCATAGCGTACGCAGATACAATTTGCGTTCTTGTTTTATCGCGGTTTATCGAATCATTTTTAAGCTGTCCCAGTTAAGCAAGTGACCGAAGCCTAGGTGTTTCTTGTGAATTTACGATAACTTAATCGTAGAATTGTTTGGTTATACGATTCGAAGTAAGCTGTGGATAGGATCGGTTCTTGGTTTGGATGAAAATTTGAGTTAAAATGTTGAAATTTGCTTCGCGTCCGTTGTCATTAATCCTATTGCTCTCTTACGGTAGTTTTCGCGCCACTTGCGTTTCTCTAACGTTGAAAACTGTCTTAAGTTTGACGAATATATGGATGAATTCTTGTTTCAAGTTTACGATAAACAGGTTTTTTTTCGAAAAATTCCAGGGTCGTACCGATTTTTTGTAAAATTCCTTCGTATACTTTTTCACGAAGAAACCACGATATAAAATATTGGCATCGAGTGATGACTTCGACAGGAGTAATACAGAAATTCTATATTTCGTACGATATATGTATGTAGAAACTTCCGCGCAAATTGGTCAATTACTTCTTGACATATCATGATATCCAATTTCGAAAAGCTATTTAAAGTTGAGCGTGTAACACCCATACCGTACTTCAAACTTCCAATCGAATTTCGCTATTCTATTTTACACGTGTGCTCTACGTAGTTCGTACTTTTTAAAAACGTGAAGATATTTCCTTTTTTATGCCCGGTGATTAAAAAGAACACAAAAACCGGCAATAAAATTTTGTTCTCTGGAACGATACCTTTATTGGAAATATCAAACAATTTTCCTTTTCAAAATTTAAATTTACCGAATGCCTCTTGATTAAAAATAAAAAAAAAAAAGAAGAAAGAGTAAGGAAAAAAGAAGATATCGAAGCAATAATTAACAAGTACGATAAATCGCTGTATCGTGAAGCAAATTGTGAATCGAATCGCGACGTTAAAAACCAGTCCGTTCGTTCAATAAATCCATTCTTGTTCCTAATCGTAGAACGATCGAGAGTTGACCGGTTGAGCGCAAAACAGCCAAAGAGAAGTGCATTGAACGAAACCAAATCGATACCAAAAGAGGCGGGGAAGTTAGCTCGATCTAGGGGAAGACGGAGGAGGGGGTGGTGGCGGCTAGTCGTTTTTTCGTTTTTCGAGATGAAGCGACCAGGGTATCGCGCGAGTTTCGCTTGAGAGTAGGATCCCTCGGGTTCGGTGAAGTATCGACGAAAAAAGAAAGAAGATAAAAGTGACGAGTGAAAACAGGAAGATCAAGACGGCCAAGATGATGAAGAAGGAGAAACCGATGATGTCGGTGACCGCCATCATCCAGGGGACCCAGGCCCGGCATTGGTCCCGTGGGAACACTTGTATGTATATTCTGATACCACATATATGTATAACTATTATAATTAATCGTTTAAATTGTTTTATACAGGATGTTCCATTTATCAAGAATGATAAACTTCGCTGAAAACGAATAAGAAAGTTCTCGACAAGTAGCTTTTTTTCCAAAGTTATTAATAACTTTTTTAATCGGAAACTATCGACGGTAACAGAATAATTTCTTGTCGTAGAATATATCAATTATTTAAGCAAAGTACGCAACACGAAATACGCTACTCCTACGATACAGTTGCGTATAATTTATTTTACAACATAATCCCATATGTATGGATCATCCTGTACATGCACGTGGAATGCGATATAACGTTTCCAGTTATTTGCGAAAGCGGGAAAGAAAGGTCCTATTCTTTGTGCCGTCAGACACGTAATACCATTTATTGCATTCCCGAGTCATTAGTTTACGCATGTTTCGCAAGAATTATATGACCAGGCTAATAAAATACCGAGTCGCGTTAAACCTTCTTGAAAGATTGCATATGCGCCATTAATTGCTCACGTATGCAAGACGTATTTGTTTCTCATAAAGTACTCTTTGTACCGTACTGTTTGTACCGTTTCGTTTTATACTTTGTACGCTGGCCTAGATACGTTGGTCTTTTTTAATTAATCTACGATCCATACGTGTAAGGATTTTCTTTTTTCTTTCCCTTTTTTTTCTTTGATACATTTTTATATACTGTTTTAGCCGTTTATATCATCGTTGGCTTCGTCGTTGGTTCGGTCTGTTATTGTACGAAGTCTATTAGATATTCTTTTTTAATCAGACGAACATAGGTGATTAATTTACCTGTTCCATTTAAAAGCTATAATTTCACTCGAAACGATACACATCGTTTGGCAAATGCACGGCGAATTATAGCCTTGGCGATCACTCTTAACGATTAAAATTGATGTCACTGGAACCTCCTCGCGCCATGAATTTCAAGCTCTAATGGTACCTAAACGAAACCGACTGTTGAAATGTGCGAATGGTAATTAGCATACTGCTGGTAGACGGTCAATTAGCACCTGTGTCAAGGCTTGCTCTTATCTGTCCTCGATATTATCCTTGTTATAGTTTCGCAATAACTATATCCGTAATATAGTATATTACGTTTTCTGTTTATTTTAAATTCGAATTTATACTTCTATAATTGTTTGACAAATCGCGGAAGAAATATTCATGTCAATTTTCACAGGAAATCGGTAAATTAAAATTCTTCTTGGATATTTTGAATTGCTTAGGGAAGAATGTTGTCGTGTTTAGATCGATAGAAATCGAATCAATCCAAATTTTAACATTTCATTCTCGCTGTACCTTTTCTCGCTCGAACGCGCGAAAAGTTATAGAATCGGCAAATTTTCATCGCAGAGAGAAACGCGATTTTTATCGCCAAAGCGTCGATATCTCGTTGCCCGAGTGACTCACGCCGATTCTTCTCGATACCCGCTCGCGGACTGCAGCGTTTAACGCGCGCTCGTCTGCTATTAAGCATAGCATAGGGTGAAGGTCGGCTATTGAAACTTGAATGGCGTGTAGAATTCGCGAGCGAAAACGCATGCGCTCGCGGCGGTCTCGCGAGCACATCGTTATCAGTCGCGGTTTTAAAAGTGGCCTTAAAGCGGTTCGCAGACGCTCGCAGCGAGAAGGTCACGCCAATGCGCCTCGTTATCTACGCCCCTGCCGCAATTTACGAGGCTTTTCGAGCATTATCGCGTGCCCCTATTGCCGGCCAACACGCGGAGTGACGCATTTCAAGCTTTACACGATCTCTTCGTCGTTCTCTTCCTCTTTTTTTTTTCTTCCGTTGGATTCTTCCTTTTCTTTCAAAGTTTTTATACGAAGATGAAATGTGTTGGTAGATCGTAGATGGGAAAATGATACGCTGGCTGTTACGTAGAATAACGTAGATTACAACAGTTAAATTACGAATATCTGCACTGGTAAGCACGTACAGTCATTCGTAAATGTATTCGTACGCCTTATCGGTAGTTCGCTGATATTTATGCAAATTCATGCGTAGAGATTAGACTTACGTAGAAATTTGATTTACCTACTACACATTATAACGCGTACTGCACTTTGAATATTCTATATATTTTTGCATATTGCACGCATCGTACGCGTTTTATACTTTCAAATTTCCCACGAATGCGCAAAAATCCGCTGTCTACGTATCGGAATGACAGTACGAGACAGTACGTTTCTTTTTTAAAGGGATGCAAATAAAAAGTTACGGCTATCTGCGTGAGAAAATGAACAAAACCTAACGTCGTATCCAAAGCATCCAAAGGAATCATGAAATCAATTACAACAATTTCTAAAAATATAGTCGTGAAATTAACGAAACGAGACGTAACTCTCGATGCTTGATCTACAAAAGCACGGAAACTCTCGACGTATAAGTCAAAGGGTTCTTTTAAAAAAATAATCTCCATCTACGCTTTTATTCCTAATATTTACAGACCTCACCTCGTTCGGTGTTCATAGAAACTGAACTTCACCTCCTCTACGTAATTTCCGCGGCTTTATTTGCTTAGCTTAGACCCCTGGCCCAATCTCCGTTGTACACACGTGTCCACCCGTAGGTTATGCCACGTACACGTGCAACAACGCGCGATAAGAGCACGAGACGATCGGTAGAGCGGTTTGCGCTGGTTCGATTAATCCACGCACCAGCACGAACGCAACCTTGGCACCGATGCGAACCAGCCGTGAAGTGCAACCTCGCGGTTGCACACGTGTGCACCAACGCTACACCTATCGTGTTTGATTAGGTTCGTGCGGCTCGTAACGGTACGTGGGTGGTAGTCGCTTGAGTTTGAGCAATTCTGACCAGACGCGCGCGTTTAATTAACGATTCGAGCGATTGCATCGGGCACCGAAGTAGGTTTAATCATTTTACACTGGGGACCACGTCGTACGTCGTACAAAAATACGTCGAAAATGACGTTCTTTCGTGGCTGAGATATCGATGCGAGTAATGGTAATGTCTGGAAGGAAAGGAAAGTGAACAGATAGGAAAAAGAGAGGGAAGAGAAAGAGAAAATAGGAGAAGAGGGATTACGGATATATCGTAAAGCTTATATCGTTCGCGTACCAAGCTGTGGATGACAGCGTTCGATCGATGTAAGAGCGAAAGTACCGCGCTGATTCCCTCTGTTCGTTCATCCGATTCGAGTTCAGTGTTACAGGCGTCGATGTTTACAACGAAAGTAACGTCAGATAGACTCGATGATTCACGTAGTTGGCGCATAATCGATCAATATATGCGATCGCAAGCTCTTTCGAGAGATGGTTCTTTGAAAAACGCACGAATATTCGTATCTATGCGTTTTAAATTAAACGACATATTTGCTCTCAATTTTGCCTGAACATAATGCCTGAAATTAATTTCCAAAGTTTACATAATTACATAATTAAGTTCCAAAGGTATATTTCAATTTTAAACCTACAGCTGCTTTATATTATTCGGAATATTCTGCGAAGCGACGATCGTTCGATTCGTGAAAATTCGTGAAATTTCTCTTCGCTAAAAATAGAACCAGATGCATGGTCGTACATCTACATCGATCCCACCGACGTCTAATAAACTCAAACAAGATTTTATCGTCGTTTTTCGATCTTCGAAGAAGACTGGATCACGCGAGGTTAATCATCGAAATCCCGTGAGGCAACAAGATGCAGCGGAGCAAGGCTTTGTACAGGAAGCGATCGTTCATTGTAGTCACGTTGGCAGTCTTCGTAACGTGGATAGTGACCGATTAGATGTATCTATTACGTGTACGTATCGGCATACGCAATCGTAGCGGGACAATCACAGCGTTAATAAGCGTTTCGAGCACGTATTCGCGTTATGTGGAACGTGTAGTTCTTGTGTCGCCACCGAGTTTCACCGTGAAAGTCGCGGTATCTATCCTCTTTGTTTTATTGTTGACGCAATCACGAATACCAGAAATCGGCCGGATTACTTTGAACGTATATTCCCTTTTCGTTTAAATTCTCTCGTCGTTCTGTGACGAAGCGCAATTCTTTGGAAATAAAATAAAATTTTGAAAAGTGACGCTGCTGAAAGTTTCTTCGGCGCGTGGCAATCCTTAAGATTGGAAATAATTTCCTGAAATATCAGATTTACTTTACTCGACGCGCAGCAAACTTCCGAGAATCTTCGAATTGAGGAGAACGTAGAGATGGGGAATTTTTAATCAAAGAGATTTAATTCTTCGTACAGATATCGCGAATTCTCACGCAAAATTGTATGGAAAAATATTCTTGGCACGCTTCCTTCTTCGATATATCACGTGATACGTCCAAATTTATTTTAGACGGAATACGTAATTTTTTTTTTATATCTAAATTACGTTATTCATTTCATCGTTTTATGTGAAGCGTTTAAATGAAGTTCGACGAAGCTCGATAATGAAACCTAAGCAAAGGGATGAACACACGTAACGACGAAAGGCACGATGTAAGCACGTGCACGAGTAGTCGCGTTTATGACGGTTGATTATTGGATGCGCCATGGGGAAGATGACGTTTTGTACCGTGACACATGCAGAAAATTTCCATACGCGGTGCGAGTGGAGCACGTTGGATGCACGCCTCCATTGTTATTCCCCATGGTGTATGTATACCGTTGCCTCCGCTACATTAACTGGAAAAATAAACGTGCATGTAGGATAATAGTCAGCAACCAAGCAGAATTACAAATCTCCTATACGTTTCTCATACGAAGACCCTTACAGAAAGTTCATATTTTATTAAAATAAAATGCAAATAAAAGATAAAGCATTTTTTACAAAGCACAGAGAAACTTTTGCGTCACACGATGCATCGTTAACGAATGTAAAACTCGTTAAACTTCCAACGCTTCATTTCGATACAAAACGTCAAACTATCGCTAGAAACAAAATTCTCCTAGCGTTCTATTTATTTCGTCCGTGATATGCAAATAGCCTGCTAAAGTTCCTTCCTCTCTACAGA